AAAAAGCCGATGGCCAATATTTTGAATAAAAAAAAATTTATTTCCCTTGAAAATTACGTGTTTTTTTTTACCAAAAAACCGGAAAAAACTTATGCATACACCTGGTATGTATGTATGTATGTATAAACGTGTGTATTAACATATGTATAAACGTATGTATGAATGTATGTATAAACGTATGTATAAACTCATAACAAAGAAAATACGTAGAAAGACGTGATACAACATGTTGCGACACGTTTGAAATTCTTGGAAAGAGGGGGACGGCCTGCCCCTTCTTCGATTTTAGAAGTAACACCATATACGAAGTATCACAATTTACGAGAATGCGATCTGTCTTGCGATACTCGCTTGTACGAAAGGTCCAACAGCAGCAGCAGCAACAGCAATGTACTCCGCTGTAGGAAGCAACACACGAAAAAATTATTACGTTCCACTTCAGAATAATGATGAAACTCCATCATTTACGAAAAGATGTACCAAATTAGTTTAAGAATCCTCCATTTTTATACTTTTTCGAATTAACTATTTAATTAATTATTTAATATTTCTTTTATATTTTTCTATAGCGCGCCTGTGCATCGTGCGGTTCGCATACTAGGCAGGAAATACGCATTGACACCTACAAAATTTTTAGAAATTGGTATCAACGTTAGCCCACCGAGTTACGTGGAGATTGCGATAGGAGATAATCGTGGAAATTAATTAATACTATCTATCGAAACATGGAAAGGACTCTATGAACAACGTTGGAACGTTCAAAACTGCCTTCGGAATCATCACAAGGGCAATTTTATTAACGTTTGACCGCTGACTGTGCGATTCAGTACGATTGAAAATGCTAAAATTGTAAGCTTGGAATCATCCGACATACGTTTAATGATGACTGAATCAACAATATTGTTTATGTCCAACTTAGATAAATGCATTGAATTAGTATTCGATCAATTGGTTGGTATCGTCGAGAAAGTCGATACAAAGTTTACACGATTCTCAAATATCGCATCCACCGTAACGGATGTTAAAGATGTACCAAATGTAATATGCGCTAGCGATTACTTTGATAAAAATCAGCTCCCCGACTGCGAACTGTTAGCTGTAGTTTTTTGTGAGTAAAAAAAAATTATGTAAAAGAGAAATATAAATAAAAAAATTTTTAATCTAAAAATTATGATGTAATTTCTTCACACATACATATAAAATAGAGGGGCTGGAATATGCGACTCATGTCTCTTCTATTTTTTGTACAGAAGGGATCTTATATGACTGTACATGTGTATAAAAAATTACTAAATAGAAAATAGCTATTGTTTCTTAATGAAATTTATTGCGTGCTGTCAAGACCATTATTATTATTATATTATTACATTGACGACGACACACTCGCATTGCGCCGCCTATATTCTTGCTTCCATCATTACCGATCATAGCTCATTATTATTACCGACCGCAGCTCATCATCGCGAACATCCCGGCCTCCTTGAAAGGATATCTTTCAACAAATATGTTCGCTTGCATATACCCTAGACTTAGCTAGGAAACTTAATCCTTGAGAACAAAATTGACAAGAGAACTGCCCTTATCTATTAAATAAACAAATTAATAATTCATGCTAGTTAACGAATAATTATTACTTATAGAACCTTAAGACTAGTAACTTAAGTAAATCAACTTAAATACACCGATAAGAGACTTAATAATAAATAGGGGAATACAATCGGTGGCATTAATAGCCTTCGTTTCATTACAATCCGGAAATCCCTCCATGGGTAAAAGAGCCAGCTTCTTTATGGAACGTTTGAAGCTCCCGTATTGAATCCTGACGATAACCACTCGTACTTCACCGTCCGCCCCGGGATGTAGCTCAATTATTCTTCCTCGAGCCCACTGGAGTGGGGGCAGATGATCCTCCCGTAGTAAAACCAGATCATTCAGCTGTATCCTTACTCCGGTTGTGGTCCATTTATTACGCTTTTGTAATTCCAGTAGGTATTCGGAATATCACCGTTTCCAAAAAAGCTGTCCTAGCTTTTGGATATATTGCCATCGTGAGAGACGATGGTCTGAAACCTCAAGAAAATCAGCTTGTACAGGTTGCAGCAGTGAGTTGCCCACTAGGAAATGGGAAGGGGTAAGAGTCATAAGGTTTGAAGGATCACTGGATATAGGAGTTAGAGGCCTCGAGTTGAGAACTGCCTCTATTGTCGCAAGTAGTGTACTGTACTCTTCATACGTCAAAGTCTGTCCTTATGTCACAGTAAGAAGGTGCCGTTTGGACAATTTAACCGCCGCTTCCCACAAACCGCCAAAATGGGGCGAGCGAGAGGGGATAAACTTCCATTGAATCCGCTGTTCAGCTAAATTCGTCTCAATTTTAGTTCCTTGCTTCATCAAGAATTCATAAAGCTCCTTGAGCTCTCGTGCCGCTCCTACAAAATTTGTCCCGTTATCGGAGTGTATCTGCGCACAGAGACCTCTTCTTGCAGTAAAGCGTTGTAACGCGGCTAGGAAGGCTTCAGTAGTAAGATCCGTCACCATCTCCAGATGCACAGCTTTCGTGGCAAAGCAAATAAAAATAGCTACGTATCCCTTGCTTACATGAATTTTTCCTCGGTGCCTGCTTTCTCGCACCTGGAAAGGACCTGCATAGTCTACGCCCGTTATTGTAAAAGAACGTGAAAAACCTCTGATTCTCTCTGCTGGAATGTCTCCCATCCTCATTTCAGGAGTGGTAGGATTGAAGCGAAAGCACTTGAAGCATCGCTTTACAATTTTGCGAGTTTCTCTTCGGCCACTGATAGGCCAGAATCGCTGGCGTATGTCGTGTAATAGCTGCTCTGGCGGGCAATGAAGGAGTTGTTCATGTCGCTTCCTCATTATCAAGCGTTGTTACGTGATGCTTAGCTGGCATCACAATGGGGTGCTTCTTACATTGAGCGATTTCGGCATGTCTAAGTCTGCCTCCTACGCGAATCAAACCTTCTTCGTCTAAGAAGGGAGCCAACGGGATCAACTTACTTTTGCGAGGTAGCATCCCCTTGTTACGGAGACATCGTAGCTCTTCTGCGAAGACTTCGCTTTGTACTAGCCGGACAATAGTCTTCTCTGCATTTTCAAGTTCTTCCTTTTCTAGAGGACCTATTTTCTTTTTGTTTCTTCGGTTTCGTCGGTACCGATGACAATACGCTATTATTCTGCATAGTTTACTGTAAGATGAATATCTCATCAATATTTCCGATTCCGCTGTCATAGTTAAAGCCACAGATGTAGCCTTTAACTCCGGTAACTCTTCGTCCGGTTCAAGGCTCTCTGTTGGTTGCGGATTTGAGTTCCTTAACCAATGTGGACCATGCCACCAAAGGTCGCTTCCCTGTAAATTTTCTACTGTTACCCCTCTTGAAAGCAGGTCAGCGGGGTTTTCTTCAGATGGTACATGCCGCCATAAAGCCTCTTCTGTTAGATTTTGAATCTTTGTCACCCTGTTGGCGACAAACGTCTTGAGATCGCAAGGTTGCCTTTGAATCCATCCCAGGGTAATTGTACTATCCATAGTCGCACTTTACCTATCTTGCCTTGGCAAGCCGTCTTGACATTGCTGTATAGTTGAGAAAGAAGTAGCGCTGCTTCCAACTCCAGGCGTGGTAGAGATATAGTCTTAAGTGGTGCCACTTTGGACTTGGCACAGATTAAGTGCGACTGAATGTTACCTTGGTTATCCATACTAACCGAGTATATACAAGCACCAAACGCGCGTTCCGAGGCATCCCCGAAACCGTATAAATCCACCTTACTCTCGCAGTTATTTGGATTAATATTCCTGGGTATTTTGAGCTTGTTAAGACTTAACAGGGATTCATAGTAATTTTTCCACGCAACCTTAAATTCGGGTGGGAGTTCCTGATCCCAATTGATTTCCTGTTTCCATATCTGTTGCATAATGAGCTTACCAGTGATAAGTATCGGTCCCACCAAACCGAGTGGATCGTAGATCTGCGCTATCGTGGAAAGCACATTTCTTTTCGTGCATGCGTCGATTTTAGATATGTCTGGCTTGTACTGCAACTTATCGGAAACCGCGTTCCAATGGAGTCCCAAAGTTTTGAAGGCTTCCTCTTTATCAATAATAAGCAGATCGTCTGATGGACTGTTTTCCTTTAAGTGCTGTATTGCTCTAGGATCTTGATCTCCATTTTCTTAGCGGAAATTGCCCGCGCATAAGCAATTCTCTTTGTAACTCGATTACGTATTCCAATGTAGGACCTCCCGTCAGGAAGTCATCCATGTATGAATCTTCTAATACTGCTTTCGCTGCTCTCGGGAGCTCGTGACAGTAAGTCTTGGCTAATTCCCTCAAGCACCGCATGGCCAGAAACGGAGCACATGCTGTCCCATAGGTGACCGTATTCAACTGAAAAATCTGTATTTGCTGGTCTCGATCAGACCTCCATAGTATGAGTTGGAACCGGCTATTTTGAGAATCAATCAAAATCTGACGAAACATCATTGTTATGTCCGCCGTTAAAACAAACTGGTGTACTCTGAATCTGATCACGATTCCTTGTAAATCCTGTTGAAGATTAGGACCTGGCATGAGTTTGTCATTTAGCGACGTATTGAGCGTAGTCTTGGCTGACGCATCAAAAACAACTCTTAATTTCGTTGTCATACTATCCGGACGTATTACTGGCTGATGAGGGATAAAATAGACGTCTAAGGGCTGAGATTCCCCGTAGTCTGCGAAATATGACATGTGACCCTTATTCAAATAGTCTTGCATAAATGAAGTGTAGTCGTTCTTTAGTTTCGTGTTTTTATCCAGTCTTCTTTCCAGCGACTTGAACCTTTCAAGTGTTTTCTGCTTAGACTCTCCCAACACGACATCTTGCCGCATGGGCAAACGTACGATGAATCGGCCGCTTTGATCTTGCTTGACTGTATTAGAAAAATACCTTTCGCAATCTATTTCTTCTTTACATTGCAATTGTTTTTCAGGCACTGTTTCTTGTATCCAGAACCTTTCGAGTTGATCATGTAAATCCTTATTTGTAATTAAATTGCAAGAAGGCTTCGTATCTGAGACATTTTCGTTTATCTCTCCTCCGATTATCAATCCGAGTTGCGTGTTCTGCAACGAGGGTTGATTTTCGCGGTGATTCTTCGGTGCGCCTATTAGTATCTTCTAGTATACACCTGCTCCTATTAAAATTTCAATAGGGCCTGGAATGTTATACGCGGGGTCTGCTAACTGAGCATCTCTTGGAACGTAGATTTTTGCTATATCTATCTTCGTTTGTGGCAACTGTTCTGTGATCCTTGAAAGTACCAGACATTCCATCTCGGTTGAGTAATTGCTGTATTTCGATTCAAGTTGTATGCGAGTTATCTTATTTGCACTCGTTTTTATCTGATTGATACCATTAATGTGCCGCTCATCTCTTGTACAAGGCAGCTTCAGTTTTTTGTGCAGACTTGTGGTGATTAGATTTAGTTGCGAACCTGGATCCAACAGTGCACGGCATGCTTGTTGATTACCGTCGGAGTCACGTACGTATACCTGTGCTGTTGATAACATGACTCTCGCTGCTTTATTATGTGCGCAGTAAATATTCATCGCCACGGAATTTTCTTCTTTGATTGTCTTGTCATCTTCCGCCCGAACATGCGTTACGATTGAATTATTCTTTGAATTCCCTTGAGTTGTGGGCTCCTCCTTTTCTATATGGAGAAGCGTATTATGCTTCCTGTCACATTTCCTGCATGAAGAACCTCTACAGTCCCGTCCGAAATGCCCTGGTGCGAAACAATTAACACATAACCTCTTTTCGATTACACTTTTCGTCCTTTCAGGTGCCGAAAGCTTTAACAGTTCTTCGCATTTATAGGTTGGATGATCGTTGTTACAATATCTGCAATTCACCCTTATAGTCGACAGAGTGACTCTTTTCTCTCCTTTCTCCTTCTTTGTTTCAATCTTCTGTTGCTGTTTTCCATTACTCACCACCTTTGTCTTTCCCTGCTTAAGTACCCTAATTATATGGCACCGATCATTGAGAAATTTGAGAAATTCTGTCAATGTCGGCATGTCTTCTGGTGTTTTATCCTTGACCGTATCTTGCCAATCACGTTGCTCAATGAAATCGAGTTTTTTCTTCGCTAAATGAATTATGATTGTTTCCCAGTAATTAACCGGCTGTGCAAGTACCTTGAGCGACGATACATGTGTCTGGATATGCCAAATAAATTGTCGAATTGATTCTGCTTTGTTATCCTTTGTGATGACTGGAAACGTTAGTAGTTCATCTAAGTGTGTCTGGATTATCATCATTTTGTTGTCGTACGTCTCCTTCAAGAGTGTCCATGCATTCTCATAATTTTCATTAGAGATTTTAAAACCTTGTATTACACTACGAGCTTCTCCTTGAAGCACGCCTATTAAATATTGATGTTTTTGCATCGGTGTAAGCCCTGCATCTTGATGGATGATTGTTTCGAAACTATCTTTGAAAAACATCCATTTCGTATATTCGCCACTGAATTCTAATAACTTGATCACAGGCAGTTTCGGTCTATATCGTTCTTCCCTATGAATTCCATTGTTGTTCCGTACAAGATTCTGCTGTAAATAATATAATATATTATAGGACCGTACATGTGATAACACAAACTATAGAAATCAAAGCCTTTACACGGTCTAGCTGGATCTTAATGCTTGTATGATTCTTATGTGAATTTATATACTACGTATGTAGTCCCACAGAAACGCGCGCCGAAAAATTTCCGGTCTTGAAACGCTAACCCTACTAAACTACCGCAGTAATAGCACGAGTTAAAATTGTTTAACAATTTTTAACTATTTTTTGATGCTTATTCGCATCTTCTAAACGATCTTAATAATGATGAATAACATATTAAAAACTGTAAATAATTAATTCTTATTGCGAAAAATATTACCTCGAATTAAGATTCATACAAGCATTAAGATCCAGCTAGACCGTGTAAAGGCTTTGATTTCTATAGTTTGTGTTATCACATGTACGGTCCTATAATATATTATATTATTTATTTACGTCGCCTAAAGAGACGTTGTTCCTTCATATGCCAATTGTTGCGAAGAATATTACTAAGGCCTCGGTAGTCTAAAGGCTCAGGACGCTCGCACGGATTGCAAGAGATCCGGGTTCGACTCCCGGCCGAGGTAATATTTTTCGCAATAAGAATTAATTATTTACAGTTTTTAATATGTTATTCATCATTATTAAGATCGTTTAGAAGATGCGAATAAGCATCAAAAAATAGTTAAAAATTGCTAGTCAATTTTAACTCGTGATATTACTGCGGTAGTTTAGTAGAGTTAGCGTTTCAAGACCGGAAATTTTTCGGCGCGCGTTTCTGTGGGACTACATACGTAGTATATAAATTCACATAAGAATCATACAAGCATTAAGATCCAGCTAGACCGTGTAAAGGCTTTGATTTCTATAGATTCTGCTGTAACTCTACCTGTGCATGTTGATGATTGTCAATAATACCTTGTGCCGTTGCTGCTGCTTTGTAGTATCTTTCTTCGAATTGTTTTCTTTCCATTTCGCTTTCTGCATCTTCTCCTTCCTCGTCTTCGATTTCCTTTATCTCATCAATTTCATCTTGTATGATTTCGAATCGAGAAAAGGTTTCTTCCAACCTTTTTAACCTAACCTGTGCTTCTGATACGGAGACTGTGTCATTTTCGTCAAAAAAGTGCTGTATTCGCGTGATTTGCCCCTTTATTCGGGCTCGTTTTTGCTTTAATTGAGCTAGTTGCCTAGTCATTGTGACAATAGTAAAAGGAATGAAAGGAAATTAAGCGACTCACTAACCTGACTTTTCTCGAATATTCCGTGCTGAATATATTTCTCGAGTATTGCCGTCCGTTGCGTGTGCGTACTGGATCCGCACTTTTTCGTATTTGCTGTTCCTTGCTCTTTTTAGAATTCGAGTCTCACGTTGTTGCGCCAATGTTTCTTAATGAAATTTATTGCGTGGTGTCAAGACCATTTTTTATTATTATATTATTACATTGACGACGACACACTCTCGCATTGCGCCGCCTATATTCTTGCTTCCATCATTACCGATCATAGCTCATTATTATTACCGACCGCAGCTCATCATCGCGAACAGCTATAATATAGAATCGCTGTGATGGATCAGGTACATGGAAGAATGAAAGAAACAAACTGGGATAAAAAAAATACAAAACTATTTATTATTATTACAATATTATTATTTTATTTATTATTACGTTTTATATGTAGTATTAAAAAAAAATTTTTTTTTTTTAATGCAATCGAACATCGAGCAAAAACGCAGGTATCAATGCCTGGAACATCAGCGACGTTTGATTGCTCGAGCATCGTCTACGATCAGCGGCGTTTAGCTTGACCATCAGCACTTTCTGGAAAAAGAGAACAAAAAAAACTTGTTGATTACCTTTCGTTTTTAACAGAGAATAAAATGCATTAACACTAGTCACCATAAACTAGGGGGTAATTATATAGAATACGGGCCTCACCTCCGATTTTAATGAATGAGCACTCATTCGACGCGTTTTCACTCAAAATGAAAGAATCCGGCAAAAAAATGCGGCACTCTGAAACGCGAACCGAATTATTAGCAGTAAAAAATTGCAGTATGAGAAGGTTAGAAAACCTGTCATACCGACTAGATGTAGCGACACGAGCATGCCATATGGCTATGTGCGCATGCGTTTTGCTACTTTTGGCGCAATATACAAAACAAATGAAACGCTCCAGTAGTCAAAAGCATTGTGTAGTATGTACATTTAATGACAAGAACATGAATTGCGGTTATTCAATCGAGCAAATAAATAAGAATCCATGGCTTGCGGCACAAGACGTTGTTGGCGATGCAAAAAGATGGCCTCAATTTATTCGTAAAATGTTTTGAGATAAAAATCTGAAGGATCACAATAGAATGATTATTGTAAATTTCTCTATTGTGAATCATATATCACTGAAGAGTTTTTGCATGACATTTTATCTTTCACCTTAAAAAAGGCATATACAAGAGAGAGGAAGCAAAATATTACAGATAGATTCCGTTATTTGAATCATGAGATAAATGTTTTAATCTTAATTGTTAAATTACATCAAATAAGTATATTTCTTTTCATATTTTGTAGGAATTTGGACAAATTCGACGCAGTCGTGTATATAGCTAGAGTGTATTTGAAAGAAATGGTTGACTTAAATTTTAATTCATATAACAAAAAATAAAATATATTTTCCATTTGTGTTTTTGTTTAAAGCAGAGAATTTACTGCTTTAATTATAAATAAAACAATTACAGTATATATTTTTTTTGATTTTTTAATACAACATATAGTGTGTACTATCATCAACAATTATTTGTGAAGTGATGCATTAGACGTTTCAGTGTCGGTGGTATATTCGGCTTCGGCTTGGTTTTGGCACTCGGCTGGTGACATCGGAGGATACAACTCAGCGATGAGATCAAAGAAATTTTCTATTTTTTCAGCTCTAGGATGAGCGCGTTTATATAGAAATTCGAACAAATATCCCTCGACATGATCCGATCGAGTCTCATATCTTGGAATATTTGCCCGAACTTCTCGCCAAACGCGCTCAATGTGCTGTGTATGGGCACCTGTAAAAAAAAAATAAAACAAATTCTTTTTTAATTTAAATACATCACAAATATTTTAAATAATATTTAATAACTAAAATTTTTTTACTTTTAACATTGAATTATTTCTCACCAGTATCTGGATCGACAAAATTGTAGGAATGATTCACAGTAAGATGTTGGAAGCCCTCATTGTTTAAACAGTTATAGGACTTCCAACAATCAGAAACAACTGTTGTTTCTGGCATGATCCATTCCTTGATACATGCCAGGAGTGTTTGCTCTGTTCGATCCTCTACTGGTAGAATAAAAATTTTTTTTGATCCTCGCTCATATCCTCCGAAAATCCAAGTGCCTTTTAAAAGGCGACCACGATTGTATTTTCGATGTCCAATCTTTGCCTCATCGATTTTAACAACGCGTCCTGGACCTCCAAGTTTCTCGCTATACTTGTCGGTCCAGAATGCACAAACCTGTAAATATAAGAAAAAAATTGTAATATATATGATGTATAATTAGTAAACAATATTAAAATTTTATATTAATGTATAATTACTTCACGGCAAAAACTGAACCAGTCTACAACCGTGTTAGGAGAAAGACCGAGTTCCTCCTCAAGATCTTCTTGTCGAGGAGGACGTAGCATTAGAAAACTTGCTACAATTTGTAAAATTGTAGCAAGATCTAAATTGCTACGGCCAAACCAAGTACCCACTTTGCAACTCTTCTTAAAGTCGCATTGTCTGGCGATAGATTTTTTTTAATTCCTTTTTTCAAGAAATCTTTTCCGACACCGAAACAATAAGGTTTCTTTATCGAGAAACAAAATTTCGTCACATCTTTCACAATTTATTGTTGACGGTATTACACCATGTTGAATTAAAAACTCAATTATATGTTCTTTATTTCCTATCAATTGGATAAAATCAAAGAATAACATTTTAACGATGTACTTTGCAAAATCAACAATGCCTTTGACTCTGGAGCGTTTCATTTGTTTTGTATATTGCGCCAAAAGTAGCAAAACGCATGCGCACGAAGCCATAGCGCATGCGTACATAGCCATATGGCATGCTCGTGTCGCTACATCTAGTCGGTATGACAGGTTTTCTAACCTTCTCATACTGCAATTTTTAACTGCTAATAATTCGGTTCGCGTTGCAGAGCGCCGCATTTTTTTGCCGGATTCTTTC